ATATCAAAGACGTGTGTTCTAAATGCATTTGCTTGTTTGTTTAAGGCTTGTCGTCAAGAGTTCCATCGTCGCTTGAAGGTCTATCATGCCTGGAAGGCAAAGAATCGCAAACGCACCACCATGGAGGAGAATGAACGGGCACCGAAGAGTGTGATGGAAGCAGGTGCGCATTCTATATTGAAATATATTACTTGTATATGATAAGGGCTTGTTAGGTGCGATTGTGGGTTCATTTTATTCTTCAAAACTGCTGTGTTCGTTTGCATAAATTTTAAAAATTCAAATTTTAAGTGTTTCGGGAAATATCTAAAATGTATCAACAAAAAATGCTTTAAAAATATTTGCTGCAAATACATACATATATTCATGGAAATTCATTGCAGCATATTTTATCATGACGAATTCTTTTATAATCGCAAACAATTAATGATAACGTACTAAACAGTAGATAAAGTAGTTATCTCACTTGTCAACAAATTAGTTCTGCGAACAGTCATTAGACTTTTAAAGTAATAAATACACATTTTTTCTACCCTAGACAGGGAGTATTAAGTTTGACACGAAGTTTGTAGCACCCAGAAGGAAACGTCGGTGACCCTATAAAGTATATATATAAATGATCAGGTGACGACTGAAGTCGATTAAACCGTGTCCACTCAGTTTTTGAGATATCGATATAAAATTTCGCACACTATCTTTTCTTCCCAAGAAGCTGCTAATTTGTCGGAATCGCCGTTATCGCACCACTATATCATATAACTGCCATACAAACTGAACGATCAAAATCATGTCCTTGTATTGAAAACCTTTTTATTTGACGAGATACCTTCACAAAATTTGGGATGGATTATTGTCCAAGGCAAAAGTACAATCTCCGAACATATTGTTTAAATTGGAACACTATAGCAGATAGCTGTCATACAAACTGACCGATCAAAATAAAGATAAATTTATTTTTATACCATTTCGTGCTACTTCATGGTACAACCGAAGTTAACTTTTATTCTTTTTTTTTTCCTTTTACCAAAGTCTTTTTTTTTTTACTGTGAGCTTAAAAATTAGTTTTTATTAGCAAGTATTTTTAAGAAGAATTATTGAAGCAAAGTAAATTGTGAGCTTTTCCAAGTTAACGATTTCGTAATAGCTTACTTCAAAATTCATAATTGTCATGTTTTTCCAAAAAGTTTTTAGACTTCTGACCGTACTTCTGTTTCCAATATAATTTCTTTTTAATCTTTTAGGGGGTCTTTATGTTTTTGTGCACTAAATATAACATACTTATTCCGTTAATTTCAATTTTTTTTACATTTTCTCATATTTTTTTTATTCATACAGCTTACAAAGCACCACCATTGGCCCATCCGAAACAGGAAATTACTACTGCCCAACACCGTTACTTCCGTATCCCATTCATGCGCGCAAATGCGCCTGAAAACAGTGAGCACATCATTTTAAAGTGTGCTGTTATCATTTGTTTATCAATTTACTGTTTGTCTTTTGTTTAGCTAAACGTGGCCTCTGGTACGCACACTTCGATGGACAATGGATAGCGCGACAAATGGAGTTGCATGCCGACAAGCCGCCCATACTGCTGGTGGCAGGTGAGTGTTTTATGATCAAAAGAAGAATACAATGAGTTTATTCTTACTTATTTTAAAATGTATTCTTTTCTCTTCTTCTTTTGTAAAAGGCGTGGATGACATGCAAATGTGCGAACTTAGCCTGGAGGAGACCGGTTTGACGCGCAAACGCGGCGCTGAAATTTTAGAGCATGAATTTAATCGCGAATGGGAACGCAACGGCGGCAAACCATATAAAAATCTGGGTGCTAATAATAACTAAAATATAACTATAAATGTTTCCAACGCCGTACACTGGTGCGCGCAAAGAAGTAAGGAAAAGGAATATGTGGACTAATTGAAAACAGTTTATAAGTGTCAACTATTAAGTTGATATGATTGAGTAAATCAAAAGTAGTAATTAAATAAATTATTACAGAAATTGTATGTGTATTTTTGCAAAACGATTTTTTAATAATCAAACAAAAGAACCGTCAGTCAATGTGCTTTCAATGTGTCTACAAGAGCAAGGGAAATATATGTAGCAGTAATGTTAGTATTAGATTTGGGAAAAAGCTCGTTCTTATCAAATCAAAAAATCTATTAATATTATATTATGGTATTGTATAAGTTGCATGAAGTTATCATTTACAAATTGCAATGTTTTGCGAAAGAAATGTATTGTATGTAAAGCAGTGGAAGTATTGCCACAACATTTGTTAGTTTTTGCAGAAATTTACAACAATGTGTTACTCACAATACTAAAATTAAAGTGTTGCAGAAGTTACAAATGAAAGCTGTACTCAAATATGCAACAACAATAGAAGAAGTATTTTAAAGCAATAAAATTAAGTATTACAAAACTTTCGAAAAACTTCGGTTAGCATGAAAACATAAAAACTGAGTTAGCTAGAAATTTAATGTATGAATCACTATTTAACGAAAATTTATTAAATCAAATATATACTAAAATTCTGAAATTGTAAACGCATTTTACTCAAATTCGATGTACTCTAATTCAATATTTCTGTGTCTACATCCTCAATACCACAAGTACCATATACCTACATATGCAATCTACAGATTCATGATTCAGAAAATTAAATAAATTTATGTGATTTATCTTGTTTGTGTACGGCATAAGTATACTTATTGGCATACAAACATAGAACAATAAGTCTTATGAGCTATTAGTTTATTTTATTAACTAACAGTATACAGAAACTACTATGTGTTGTTATGATTAGCAAAAGTAGATTGAAAAAATTACACATTAAGAATGTCTATTTATAATTTTATGTATACAAAACGGCATCTAACATAAATAGTATGTATGGCAAATAAATACTTTATACATGAAATTGCAATATTTGAATATTTTTGTTTTCAATTGAAAGCCTTCGACAAAATCACTTTTATTCCATTAGCATATAATTTGCACTGCCATACTATCCGCGCCCCGTTTAAGCGGTCATTTCGAAAAATAGCCGGATGAGGTTTCATACCCATCTATGTTCTGCCATCTCAGTAACGGATAATATTATAACGTTTTATAATGTTACAAAAACAACAGAATAAATAAGTAAGTGGTAAGAGGAGCACTTATTTTCTGAAACTTTCTATTTCCATTAATTCTGCTCTAACTTCTTAATAGATTATCATGGATATGCGCAGAATATTGCGTCACTTCCGAGTCAGTAAAATAAGTATAAGTATATATAATAAGTTTGAAAAATGAACCATGCAAGTATTTTCAAGATCTGCGGGTGTGTAGTTGGAATTCCAAATTTATAATAAAAATGTTTATACTAAATTCTTTATTTTACGAAGCTAAACACATTTCGAGGGCATACATTCTTACATCTCTTCCATCCTATTCTGGTTGTTGATTTCACTAAAGTAAAAAGCATTGACACAAACCCTTCTTGCAGCTGCTTTTAGAATGAATTATTTATGCATGGCAATAATTTTGTATAACTGAAAACTTATGCGTGTGGTGTAATATAGTCAGGTTGGCCGAGCGGTCTAAGGCGCCAGATTTAAGCTCTGGTTCCCGAGAGGGAGCGTGGGTTCGAACCCCACACCTGACAAATAGAAATATTTTTTATATTAGTGTTTTGTTATTCGAATTGATTTCAAATATGTTAATAACTACTTGTATGTATAATTTATTAACAAAGGTTCCATGGTAATATTACAAGTATTTATAAAGAAGTAGAAACACTTGAAATGTCAGAATAATATTTATTTTACCAGTTCGATAATGATCGCCTGATAAAATTAATTTTGTCTTCGTAAACTGAAACTATGTATTCATGTTGGTGATTCGTGGCCGATTTTGGCACGTCGTTGCGGTTACAGTTGTATGTATACTACGATGATTTATAATTGATTTATGTTTTGCAAGTGGATTCTGCGAAGGGGTTCCCTGAGCGGCTCTACAAGTAAATGGCAGGCTCCATATGCAAACAGCATTTCCTTTGCACGTTTATATATTAGATTATACCGCCCGGTCTCAGTCGACAGAGTCTCGTTATCCAAGGAGACAGAGGACACCAAGTCCAGTCCAGACAGTGGATGAGGTCATTGAATAGGTGAGGCTGTATGGTCGCTTTACGGTTGAGCCTAATTATATAAAACTTAACACAAACAAGAATGGCAAGTTCGCGTAATTATAAACAAAGCTTCCCTCTCCTTTTGTTATGGACGTCATAAACCGAATTGTAATTTTTTGATAAAACATACCCCAAAAACATATTTAAAGGTAACTATCGTAAGCTACAAAAATGTATGCCTATCAGTCTTAATTAAATACCGAAAATATTGTTTCAAGGGCTAATCGATCGCTGGTCAATACTGCTCAAAGCAATCGTTGGGCAGTGTGTTAAATATGTAGGTTTGTAGTACCGTTTGAAAGGTCAAGTCCACAAACTTTTATTTGAAGTTTCAATGAAAACCAATTTTTGGCAAATCAATCAAAATATTAGAAAAGCATTCAATCATTTACATTTATTCGACTGCTAGTTAGTTATGGTAACTAACTAAGTTTTAACAAATGATAACGCAATATAAATAAAGTTTTAATTTCTTTTATAACTATATAATTTAGCAGCACTAGCAAAAGAGTCTTTGGCGTTATCTTAATTTTACATAAGTGGCAATATTAATAAAATTTCCCTTTGAAGGAAACTAAATTAGCTGTGACAAAAACCAAGTGAATGAAATATCCCATAAACTGTGTAGTGGCATATTTGTGAATACGCTTTTATATTGGCTTTGACAGTTTAAATATTACAGTCAGATTGGCCGAGCGGTCTAAGGCGCCAGATTTAAGCTCTGGTTCCCGAGAGGGAGCGTGGGTTCGAACCCCACATCTGACAAATAGAATTTCTTTTTTTCTTTATTTTAATATTATTAATTAAGAAAATATATAAATATAGTAGCAATTTATACTATTTTAATTTAAATTATACACACTAAATAAAATGTTTACAAACGCTTTCGTGTAAATTCATTGTGTTTACACTGACATGAGCACAACAACTTTAATAACACTTCTAACAGAGAAACCAGTTATGATCTGTATGTTATCTTATTAAGTGCCAAACTGCTTTCTCTCCTAGACTAAGTAGATATTCCACTCTCTTAGCACTGCCACTCGGGCTCACCACGACATGCGTCACCATCCACCAACTCCGAGCATTGAAATTCTCGCTGCTTCATCGATTCGCTGCTGTCGCAATCAACCAATTTTAGACAGTCTTTCAGCAACATTCGCGAAGTCAAGATCAAGTTAAAGTGGGCGCTTTTCTGTCAAGTTTTCCAATTTATTTCCCGCTTTATACGTCGTTAGTGCATTTTGGTAATGATCGTCGACGAGTTCGGAAATCAAATTTCTTGATGTGGAAATTCTGTCTGAGAGTCACTAATTTTTAATTATTTAATTTTGTAATTGATTTTATAGTGGTTTTTACGAAATTTGCGTCATTTATAACGTTGGCATTTAGAACTGAGAAAATTGCGATACATATTTGATAAGTGTGTTTTGTATTAACCACTTCGATAAGTGTGTGTGACTGATAACGGAGAAGTTATTGGCCAATGCATTAAACGAACTAAGTGCTCATACATACATACATACATACGCCAACATATTTTGATCAATTTCAAGCGTAGAAAACATAACACTTCAAAAGAGAGAAAATAACACTTTTACCAATCAACAATTACAACAACAATAGTAACAGCAAAAATGTACGTGAGCCGGTTGCCGAAGTTGTCCCTTCTCGTATTGACATTTGCAGCCATCCTAGACTATGGTAAGATCACTGAAGAACAACTCAAAAGCAATACATACTTACAGGTATATGTACATATGTATATAGCATGTCTTAAGAGTCTTTCATTATCAGCATTAGCATTTTTGCGCAAAACGACAATTTTTCGATATTTGTACAAGTGCTTGTGAATGCTTCGTGATATCTTTTGACGTCTTCGACCAAATTTGAATTGCAAAGTATTCGTAAGAATTCTTAATTCTACTGCATTCAGTTGTTTTTGTTCTTTTTCTACGGAATTTTATTTGCTTTTTTACCTTTGGGAATAAGTTGAAGTGGCACAGCCAGTCTTGCAAGAGGCTTCTTGAATAAACCATAAAAAATTCAATTTATATTTGCATATATACATACATACCTACATATGCATGTATTTTAAAAAGTAAATTAATATTGCTTGCTTTTTACGTTATTTTAAAGGTGTTTTTAAGAGAACAATGAATATTCAGTATCTGTTTACCTACATATATAATATATGCTGGTTTCGCAAAAAATCGTAAAATTTTGCTTCTTTTTAATTTTTTAAAATATTCCCAATACATACAATGAATAACAATGTAATTTTAATTATTTTTCAACATTGCAAATTTTTATATAAGAAATTCGGCTTAATAAAATATCAAATTAGCCATGGTGTTGTTCGTCTAAATAAAACCAAGATTATACACTTTTCATGTGCTTTGGACATTTTATCAATGGCAGTTATTAGGCACCTTTCAAAATTTTTAAAATACAAAGGAGATGTCAACCAATTTTATTGTCATACATTTTCTATTGGACTAATTCGGAAGCCTGTCACATTTTATTTCAAAATTTGTTGCTAAACAAATATCAGCATTATCTATCATTGAAATTTACTTCTAATAATTAAAAGTGTGAGTTATTTCAAGGTTATGAGACCTTTAAAACTTAAGACCTGCAGATTATATAACTCTATATTAAATAAAAAACAAATACTCATAGACAATGTCCAATACAGCAAACCATTTCTTTATATGTATTTAGTCGCAAGTTTTATGATTAGATAAATACCTTTGTATATCAAATTACTTATGTTGATAAGACACGTTTTAAAGATTTTATCATAAGTTTATTAATAATAGGTGATTCATTTGAATTCTGATAACTGCATAAGTACGTGTGTACATGTATATATGTATGCAAAACAAGAGCTTGTTTACAAATATGTTTATGAAAAATACAAAGCTTTCATTGACATTAAATTCGCGCCAGCAATAACAAACAACCGAATACAATTATTACTTTCTTTTGCCTTTTTTCTTTGCCCACAATGAGCTATCAGTGACAACAGTGTTAATGGCGGCAGCAAAGCGCGCGAAACAGGTGTTTTAAATACATACAGACATACATACCAACAAACAAACACTAGTAAGAGATTTCCTGTAGGAATTTTAGGCATGAAGTATGCAAAGCGGTCTCGTTAGTATACTTAACAAGTCGAAAGCTTTTACATTAATTTGTTGTCAATTACTCATTGAGAAATTAGTTAATTGTTGATTTTAAGGGTGTATTAATTAGTTATGTATTAATAATTTGAAATTCACTTAATTGTTAAATTAAAAGTGTGTCTGTCATTATATAATTTAATACATAGTTTCATATTGAAATGCTCGGAATATGTGTCTAAATTAACAACAAGAAAAATGTAGAAAAACAAAAATGTAATATTAAGCATATATTTTCATTTAAATAATATTATTCATACTCTAAATTCTTAATTTACCACACAAATTTATACATTTTTGCTAAGCTATATCTCGTACTAGTCTACTAGCCCGGAATAACTAATTAAATGGTCCTACAGGTAAGCGTTTTACTTTACACATGTAGCTAAGCTACTTGGCCCGACCGTGACGACAAAATTCACAAATTTGTCATGTATTTTTTTCATTGGGCAATCTTTTCGTTAACAATTATTCAGTTTATTGCAAGAAGTTGATAAAGAATGCAAAAATAGTGGCCAATTTTATATTGTTGGCTCGCCTATCCATTTAACACATACATGCATACACATATATATGTGTGTGTATCAATTGTTGGATTAAATGAAAATAAAAGCTTCGAAGACAATAATCAACACAAAGACTTATATCGTATGCGAATAAACATACCCTAAATACTTTGTTGCTCTTATGCATACGAAATGATATTTACGACTGCGCTCGAGTAGGACTATCCAATACAAAACCAAGTGGGCTCCAATGCGCCGACTTGCGATTTATTGAATTTGATTGACATTTGCAAACGCATTTACCGCGAAAATGCGAATATAAACTCTAAAATGTCATTAGTCCAAATTGTCGAAACTTTAAAAATGTAAAATACATAGTTAGGTTATGCTGTCTCTATATGTAAGTACACACATATTTTTCATGTATTTTCTTATTTTGAGTATATACTCTTATACTATTATATAATATATATTTAAATAGAAAAATAAAATGAGCATTTGAAAGTATTATTCTCGCAATGACACGAAATTTTGAATAAACAGGCTACAATCTATCCTTATCGAATAGACTGAACTGGATTGTATGGGAGCTCCTAAATAGTTCGTTGCAAAATATATTACTTAATAGGTAAATTGAGAACATTTAAAGTTTAAATTACTGAAACTCACTTAATTGACAAATTAGGTGTGGGTTTAAACATAATTTACTTTGTATTATTTTCACAATAATTTTTCATACAGTCTTCTTAACAACGTAACTCATTTAGACTAAATTGAGTTCATGTAAAGGTTTTGCAATTAATGAAACACATTTTCAATTATAGATTAATGAAATTTTAATTTATGTTATTCTTAAAAAAAATATTTGTTTGACGTTGAAAGTGATGAAAGACCATACATCATTTTAAGGCTCTAAAAACTAAAAAATAATTTGTTGATCTCAACACATAATTCGTAACTTGCTTATATGAAACACCAAAACTGTTCCATTTTGACTTATTTCACATCAAATATTCGAGCGTGCAAAGCATATTAATACATGTGCAGTGGTCAATGGTTTGTTGTTTTTGTTTGGCTGGCTTCGCCACTATTTATACCAAATATGGGACAATATGCCAATTGATAGCGATCAAAAAAATATTTTAATGTAGGGCGACAAATAAACAGTTCGTGCAAACTCGATTTTGAACTTGAAAGAAGTTGAGAAAACATGTTTGGCATTTCTGTGTATGTAAATAATATACAAATACATACAATTATACATAATAGTAAAATTAATAAACATTGCAATTTCGAATGCTCATAGTTCGTCGATAAGAAAGATCAAGGTCATTTGACAGCTACGACAAATGTTTGTGATAATATGCAGTACCGTAAATATCAGTGCCTTTAAACGACTTGCTAGCTACTCCACATAGCTATATATAATTAAAGCAGATACGCATGAGCTTGCCATGCACTTTTATGCGTATATAATTATACCGCTGGCTTGTTTATATTGTATTTATACCACATCGCCAAAGGTAAATATGCCCATGTTTATTACTTCACACAACAAAAAATTTGCATAGAACTTCTTGGAAAAATTTCAATGAAAAACAAAAAATCATGCCCATGTAAGTGCACACATGATTAAGTATATATGTGGATTTGCGAGATAAACGATAAACACGCGTTTGTACACAAACTTTGTTTGATTATCATAAATTAACTGGGAGTTGTAAAATTAAAACATGCTAAAAAATGCTGCGCGTCAAAGCGACTACATACATACCACATATGTACATATGTATTTACTATGTATCTACATGCATACATTAGTAAAATATTTCAAATGATTAATTCAGAGAGAACGCACCTACAAATATACAAATATATGCAATTTACAGTGAAACATCAAATAAGCACTAAATGATCTAGTCAAACCAACTAACAACTAGAAATTCGGAAAGAGTCTATCCACTATTTTTTCCGAAATATGTATATATGTATATAGTACAGATGCAAACCAATTTGTATTGTTTTTACGATTTTGGAATTAGTCCATAATTGACCTAGATTTTTGAGTATATTTTGAAGTAGTGGAAGATTGATATGTATCTGAATTAATTCTGACGTTTGATGTGTCTTTGCTACGAGCGCCTTCTAAAAATACCAGCTGATGGATTCGAGAATAGACATTTGATTCACTAGTGGACTAAAGAAATTTGTAATTATTTGATCATGCTACAGGGTAGTTTGAATGTATCTATGTACATATATGCACACTTGTAGGACATATTTTACTGCATTATACTTCATCAACTTCCTTTGAGTAATATTTTTCTTCATCCGTTACAGCTAATCTGAGTCCCATTGACGAAACTTCCCGCCGATCGGAACTGAGCGATCTAAATAAATTACCTATAAAACGAGTTTTGGGTTTGGAGGTAAGAAGTCTTTAAAACTTACAGTTATAAAAAACACTAATAGTTAAATGCATAATATATATTATTAGTGTAACACTACAACTTTTGGTAATGTAAAAATTTGCTACTGTCGATTTTATAAACTAGGAGGGATGTACATTTAATAAAAAAAGAACAGAACGCTTCAGGTACAAAATCAAAATTAACATTTGCTTGATAACACTCTTTAACTTCCCATGCCGTTTTGGCCATCTGTATACCGTTGAAGCGGCAACCGTTAGTAAGATTAATAATAAGTATTGAACAAAACTTGATCTGTCAGATTATCTGCATTGCAATTTGTAATGTGTACATATGATTATATTTTAATGTCTCTCATCTTTATTCGTGCGCCAACCACAAAAAGTGCAAATTCCAACGTGATTCCCGTTTACAAATACTAATTCATTCACACACCTCTATGCAACATACTATGTATGTTATACCTGTTGGCAGGGGAATTCGGCTGATGACGAAACGAATTCTACGCGGCTCTTTCGAATGAATCACGCGTAAATTAAATTAAGCTTCGTGGAATCTACCATGAATTGATTTAGCAAACATACTGTATGTACAATAATATATACTTAATACATACATACATATATGCATAAACTTGTCGCGGTTGACACAGTAGTTGAAAGTAATCCAAAATTATGTAATTCATATGGAAATGAGGGTGAGTTTGATCGCTAATAGGATTGCGATGACACGTCTAGCTGAGTACAGGAATTGTGTATTCGGCGATTTTTGACATTTCGAGTACTATGACAATAAATCACCTATTAGATAGTCACGTTCGTTTTTGTAAACAATTGCATTATATACAACTGTATATATGTGTGTATATGTATGTATGGTATATTGGTATAAACACTTTTTAGATGAAAGAGAAAAACAAACAGCAAATGTGTAACTCGCATTTGTTTCAGAATGAACGTAATCGCAACTGAATAATACTAGAATTCTGCGTTAATCCGGTTTAGTTTTAGCCTTGCAAGTTTCCCAACGCTGCCTTAATACATAATTCATTTGAAAACAATTTTATTGCAATTTGAAACATTCTAAAATACAATAATTGCATCCAATGCAGCGGTAGAGTACAAGTAAAATGTGGAGATACACACACATACATACATACATACTTATGTAAGTGAATATATGTACACGATAAATGTGTAGATTATTTCTCCCCTCCTGTATTCTGCCAACATACATAAATATATTATTATATATAAACACAGTTTTAAGCCTGAAATGTCATCATCTCATGACTCACAAACTGTCTACTTAATTTTTTGAAAGCCTAAATTCTTCCAAACACATATGTAGGTATATATTAGTGTGCATACTTATTGTATGTATGTATGTACAATATGTACCATATATAAATAATTGAATTAACCTGTGGAAAATATCATATTTTTTTGTGGTTGGCCGACATTGCTGTAAATATATACTTTAAAAGTGCGTGTATGTATTTTGCAGCGAGACACTCTGAAATTATCACGCTTATTTCAAGAAAGTCGTACTGCCCCGTTATTAAATGTAAACATATGCGATATTCGTGATTTTTTTTTAAGCCGAAACCTTCGCTCCATTAAACGATGTTCACACTATTTTTAAACGACTTTCTGCTTAATTTATTTTCGTCTTGTTCATTAATTGCTCTTTGTTCGAAGCAGACCACCACTTGTCATATCGATAAAATCAGTAAAAACTTTAAATGAACATCGGGTTGTAAATGCTTCCTTATTCGTACGATTTTGTTCACTATTTGACAGATCCAAAAATAAAACACATATATTTCAAATTTGCGTAATAAATCTCTGATTGGATTGGCAATTTCCTTTTAGTTATTGGAATTAATTTTCTGTGGAATATTTTACAAATTACCTTTTAACTTGAATTATTAATAAACCGTTCAATTTAAGATTAATTTCAGTGTCCGGATAATAAATGAGTTTTTAAAATGAATCATTTTGTTTTAGTTTATTTTTGTGTTATATATAAACTACTTTTTTGTTAATATAACTCATAGATAAATAATAATAAATAACAGTACAAGGCTTTTATCATCGTTCAAATAAAAAAATTTCTTCCGAAACTCGACAAACAGACGATGTTTTTCGGACCATTAATATAATTTTTGGTGAAAATTCAGTACTGGATATAAACTTAACAGAAATATTTATGTCATGGGTTTCCCCAAAACTGTGCTGAAAATTTACGCAAAATCAATTGAATATTTTGGAGTCTATGTAATGCAAACATTTACTCGCATATAGTCACTTTAATCTATTGATCGCGTTTCTACTATCTCCCTTGATTTACAAACGACTTTATATAATTCGAAAGAAGCGAACGGAGTTATCGCGATGAATATAAACATTTTATTTTAGATTCAAATGCATAAATATCTATTATTTATATTTGTCATTGCAGCCCAAGCCCGAAACAGCGAGTTTCAAGCATTATGATGAGGACTCAATTCGTATAGTAACCGATCTGAGTGAGGATCAAAGGCTTAAGTACGATGTAGAGGTGTTGGGGGTGCGCGATCTTAACAAAGAGGCTGCAGAGTTAGAGGAGCGTTTCAGGTAGAATGAGAATACCTACTTATATCAAAACAACGCAAGCCTTGACGATTTTTGCGTATTTACAGGGGGCCAGCTATCAAAATGGACACGGATAATTTCGTTTCGGAAAATATAGAAGTGAATGCGGAGGATGCTGGTGCCAATCTTAAAGTTCAAGTCGCAAATTCCAATGGCACCGATAGTGGTGCTGTTGCTGATAATGACCTTGACGATGATGATGATGATGATAATAAAAGCGACGCTAAGCACAATCACATGATACTCACGATGGTGCTGGTGTTCGCGGCGCTATTTTCGATATCTCTATACGTGGCGCTTGTCGTCTGGCGCTCATACCTTGAGTAAGTATAATGCCTTAAAGTCGCACTTACCCATACCTATCGAATAATAGTTGTACGAACGAGTATGTTTCATAAATATACAATTAAATTCCTATTTAATTGATTCGATGCCTTTCGCTCTGTTATAAATTATCTTTAATTTTTGCTTGTAATTCGTTTTGTATAATTTATTCTTTATTTGTTTTTCCAAATCAGGCGACGCTATGCGATGCGCGAGTTGCTTCTCAACGACGATGATGACTTCTATCTGCCAAGTAGTGAGACTACAGGCCGCCGTTGGTGATTTGGAAAAACTCATTCGTTTACTGATTCGTGGACTTAATTTTAATTTCAACAAACTGTACAAAGGAATTGTCATCGTCAGGCATTTCGCGCTACAGTGCGAGGTCTTCACTTATTGTAGTTCGTAGCTAATTGCCATTAATTTCATTTAATTTAATTCAACGCAAGTTTTCACCGCAACTCTACTCTATGATACACATATGTACATACATACATACCTATGTATGTTCCATGTATATATTTATTTGAATGTTAATTGTTTAAGACGCTGCGAAATGAAATGCGGTGTGCGCGGCTGCAACAACAAGTCACACAACCGAACCCAGATTGCCTTCCTCGCTGGGATCGTGTGAGTGTCGTGACGAAAACAAAGTAGAACTGTTGTAAAAGTGCGGAGGAGGAAAAGTGGATGGGAGGAAGTCGGGGATACAAAACGTTGCTTAATCTGACAATTTTTATTTATTGACAAATTTTATGCGGGACTTTCCTATAACTAGTCACTTTTCCGTTGTAAATATTATGATCATTATAAGCATCGATGAATATTGGTGCAATGTTATGTGTCAAGTTGAGCATTTTACTTTCAATTCATGGCAGGCGGCAATTAATTTAGTAGTATTAGTTTGCACGTATAAGTAATATGTGGTATTTTAAGTATTTTTTACGAAATCAGTTCAATCGCAGTGCTAAATATTTAGTATCATCAAACATATTAATGAATGTATGGGTATTCTATTTACATTTGTACATGTGTATTTTATAAAAGTGAACTTAATTGAAAGTAATTGTTAAGCTGTGATATTGATTTAGAATTAGTAAGATTTCTCATTTTTCCATGTCACAAATTGTTTTCAATTCCACAAATGATAGTTATAATGAATTCTAATAAGATTTCATAGAAATCACTAAATAATATTTGTTTAAATAATGTACTGCATCATGGACAGTAATATACGAGTACATTTAAGAATGTAATACACAGAAAGACAAATTTATTATTTCCTATAAGTATGTACATATGTACAATATATGCCTAAGTAAGCATGTACATACATACATATGTATGCAATTAGTTGTTTCAGGATTAATAATAATTAATACTTTCATCTATAGCTAAGTTTAGCTTAAGTTGAAACGCATACATAGTATGTAGGTAACAAAAATATTAATATTGAAATTATAAACAATTAATGTCAGTACATTTTTAGAAATAAAATTTATAATTTATTTTACAGCAAACCAATTCAATTTACAACTAGTTTCTTTATATCCAAACATCACACTTAAAAAGAAAATTAATGTACGGTTTAATTCATATAGTCTTCTAAAAATATTCGATTTGGTAGTCTCACATGTTTATATTCTATATGTCATAATACTAGACTATCCAGTAGTATTCTAATAGTTAGTCTTTTTTGTATTGATAATTAGACTAGGTGACATTCATTAAGAGCTTCCTATCTCCTCGTTTTGTCGTAATAATAATATGTTATTCGATATTTATACCCTAAACAGGGTATATTAAGTTTGCCACGAAGTTTCTAACACCGAAATGAATTTTTGACACTGAATTACTGTGAAACGCAACAATCTCCGATTTTTTCAGATAGTATTAACGATCCAAATCAAGTTCCTTAATATAAACTCCTTTGTTTGTTAAGATGTCTGATGGAATTTGACATGGATTAGGGAACGATGTAATCTTCGAACAATTTGTTCAGATCGGACTACTATACCATATGCATATGTACATACATACTTATGTAGCTGCCATACTAAGTATATTCTAGCTTCGGCGCAATCGAAGTTAACGTATTATCTTGTGTTGTTTTATTTGTTCAACTAATTTAGAGTCGTTTAAATCAAGCTTCACAATAAACTGAAAAATAGAAAAGGTTAAATGTAATGTAATTATGATTAAGTAATAGGTTTATTGCTTCTAATATCCGAGAGCCCATAGTTAAAACACTAGCTTTTCTGGAAGTAGTATGTGTGTTGTTTTACAGCTGCTTTTGATTTTCGTTGGACATGATAGTCGTGGTTTTACAAATGAAGTTGTTATTGTAATTATTACTTTTGTTATTGTTTAATTATATAAAGTAATTTAAATATAACTGATGTCTCTGACTGACAGCCAACTGTTTATAACTAATCGTCGATTAAACGATAACCGTGTCAATTTTGAGATCAATTTTAACGGAAGGTCGAAGTTGTCAAAAAATGTTTCTTTATGTACCTATGTACATTAGGGTGGGTCCAAAAATCAAAAGGGTTTTTTCCCTTAGTACTCTGAAAAATAGGTTGATAGACGCCTCTCCAAGTATGAGCTCTTAATTGTAACGGGAACTTACAGTTTTCAATTTTATTCTTCACATCTCGCTCCAACTACTTGAAAAAGAATTTCGTTTAATTAATATTATGAAAATTGAGAAATGATCTTCAAAAATGTTCTATTACGATTTTTTCGTAAACCTAAACGAAAGATATTAAGTTAAAGTTTAACTATTTTATGACAATTTTGTTTTTTCTTTTGAAATTTATTTTTGTTTTAAGTTACAAAGTTCATAGACTTGTAGGAAATTTACTGCTCTACAAAAATTTTCTCTTATTTTTTTAAAGTATTTTTTTAAACTTATTTTTAATTATTCATCAACATTCTCTGCTCTGGCTCAGCAATCAGAATATTTTTTGGTGGAATCTAATTGGACGTATTGTCCAATTGGACAGCTGATATCTTCGTTAAACTTTATTGTGATATGGCAATATTACAGCACGGCTTTTTCTAGTTTGCTTTAGCTTGACATTCTGCATACGCTTTTTCTGGCTTCCTTCTCGACGAAGTTTGACAATTCAGCAGTTTAATTTGCAAAAACTCGAAAAGACTTTCATTCATTTCATTATTTTTAACAAATTCTATTAGCTCAAAAAATATAAATTTAAAATGTCTGAAAATAATGGTATGTATAATCAACGAATAGAAAGTGAATTATAGAAATATATTTGTGCGAACTTGTGTTGTAAAGAGTCATGTATTTTAGAAGATCAATTGAAAAATGATAGAAAAATTCTGGAAGTATAAGCCGGCAATTACACGTTTTGCTTGTAATCTTTTAGATACCTCCAACGAATCAAACAGTCTTGGTAGCGATTCAATCTTACAGTCATCGAGGTTAACTGGAGGTGGTGTAAATCCGGTTATACGCTCGGGAGTATTGCGACCGTCAGTACTTGGTCCTTCAGTTTTGGGTGCAGCAGCGCTGGGCAACAGCAACAACAATTCGCTTGCTAATGTCAATGCAAATTCGATTTCCAATTCAACAGCTACTAGTAATAATGGTGATGACGAAGAGGACTCTGTAAGCAGCACAACCAATCATAATCCTTTTATGCGTGAACAGAAAGACGAAGATGAGGAGGAGAGCACAGAAAATGATTCGAATGCTGCAGAAGGAGCTGTTGGAGGCGAACCAGCTAGTGAGAAGGCGACGGAGGAAAAAAAATCGGCAGACGATGATGAACCGGATGAAGTAAGTATAATGTGTTCAGAATGTTAACATTTGAGACTAATTGAATTGGGCATTTTCTGTTTGTTAAGCGGTCAGATCCCTTGAGCTTGCTTCGCAAAAATGGGCTCGAACGGGCAAATCTATTTGCCGCGGCCAAAAGCTCTATGCCGCTGGTGGAAAAATCGGGATTTGTTTTTGGACAAAATGTGCATGAACGTGTTGTTGGCGTAAGTAATCTTGAGTTACATTTCCATATTGATTATAATTTATTTCAATATTTTTTCTTTAAAGGAGAATATTAATCCTGATGGTGTACAGAGAGCAGACAATGCCGAGGCGAGCTGTTCTACTTCTGGAGAATTGCTGTTTTCAAGTGTTATACAAAATGCAGCCAAGGCAGGGGAGTCTGACAAAGGTGCCACGCCAAAAGAGAATGAAACAAAAACACTAACCGATGTAGCGCGTGAATACGAAGAAAGTCGTGCACAGAAGCGCAAATACGAGGAGGTAGAAACATTCACAGGCGAAGAGAATGAAATAAACATTGTCGATGTAAGTGTTTCAAAAATTTTAAATTAACACATATTTCTACACCATTTGAATAATAATATAATTTTATTATATATTTAGGTAAATTGTAAGTTATTTGCCTTCGTCAACAGCAACTGGGAAGAGCGTGGGCGTGGCAGTCTTCGTTTGAATGACTCGAAAAATGAACAAGAATGCTCTCGTGTTGTGTTTCGAACATCGGGCAATCTGCGCCTTTTGCTTAATACAAAAGTGAGTATAAATTGGAATTAAGGTTTCAACAAAAATTATTATAAAATATCGTTAATGTTTCTAGGTTTGGGCTGGTATGGTAGCTCAACGTCCAAGCAACAAATCACTGCGCCTTACTGCAATGGACAATACTGGTAAAATCAAAATATTCTTAGTGATGGGGCGCCCGGCGGATATGGCGCTACTGCATAAAGAGTTACTAGAGAGAATTGAACTCCGAAAAATATCACATCCGGAAGAATGCCGTGCGCCGGCAGAAACGAAGAATGGAATTGGATCAGCAGCCAATCATGAAGAGGAGGCAAAGGAAGCTGAAGCCATCGCTGTACCAGATCACGAAGATTGCACAGAGCCAAGTCCCAAAAAGCCATTGGTTAATGAGGAAAAGAACTAATACACCGTTTTTATAAAACAAAAAAACAAAAAAAAAAAAACAAAAAAGGAAAGTCATAAAAATAATAAACTCTTAATTTATGTTTTGGAAAAGAAAAATTATAAAAAGTATTTGAAGAATTGTAAATTGAATGTACACATGGACTGCATAACTCCTGTTAATGAATTTTAAAAACTCAGTATGCCCAAATGAAGCGAAAAAACTGATAAAGTAACGAATATGGCTAAAAGAGAGAGAAACATTGATTTCTTTTGTACCGTAAAAACAACAACGAATTACACAGCGCAGTAGAAATGTTTTCTAGATCCAACTGAAAGTTATACACAACAGTTTATAAATATTTACTAGATAGTTAGTAGGCGGTAGGAAAAAGAGTCGAACTTAGCGGTAAAATATGCAATGTCGCTGAGTTATAATTAAATTTATCAATGAATACCGTATTTTTGTAATTTGTTTCTAAGCGATTTCAGAATTTGTAATTCCAAAACGTTTTTCATATGCATAAATATAATTTATGATTTTACATACCAAACATATAAAAAATACAACTCTCAGATCATATCATTTCTTAATTGCATGTGCTTAATGTGTGGAATATTTCATTTATTTTCTATTATTAAGCCTACCGATTTTCCATACATTTGTGCTCTGCATATAAACTACAACAATAATGTGTTTATATATTTTTAATAATGAATTGTTGTATAAATGAAAGCAAAGTTGAAAACAATAAATAATTGAAAAGAATTTGGAGGATGAAGCAAATAAATGAAATAAATTTAGATTTCTGTTCCTTATATAACAATAAAAATTAGTAATTTTATTCATTATTGAACACGTATGCGAGGAACAAATGGAATTGGAAGCACTTTACATTGATTGTATTTTTCTTTGAAGATATTCTACGTGGTTTTACATTACCCATCAACCTGATACTGCTACTGATTTTTCATAGTTGAGCATTTCCTTTGCGCAGGAAGTCGTTGCGAACCGATTCTTCCACTCTCACTAAAAATTAGTATTAAAGTGTAGTTTTGCTGATATGGTTTCCAACTGGATAGCTAAATACATTTACACCTTCCTTCTCATTAAATTCGAAATATAAGTTGAATGTTGTCGGATTGCGAATTCACACAAATTAAGTGATTCGTATTTACAGCAACACATACAGTTTCAAAGGAACAAATCAGCAGCACATTTTTAACTTACCAAGAGTCATTCCGTAAACACTTTAAAAAATCAAAAATGCATTTGGTTGTTTGTTTTAATAGTAAAAATATGTGTTCTATTATATCCTATTGATTTTCTTCTTATTTTCGTCAACTCTTCTAGCCGTCTACACTACTAATTTATATGTATTTATGTACATGCACTAAACAAATGCTGCATTTAATATAACATCACTACTTGAAGTTTAAAAATTGTCACCACATTGGGTGTCAAAGAGGGTATACTTATTGCACAAAATAACATTATAAATTTATAATTAAGGGCATGCAATTTCCTCGACTCGATAAGCAAAAAAAGAAAAAGAAAAATTATGTATATTTTTTTCTTTCGAATTGACACATTTTAATTTTATCGACAATTATTTGCTATTAGAAGCTACACGCTTTTTACATGATATTCCTACACATCTTGCATAATTTGTATATTAATAAGTTAAATCATTTGATTTTACAACCTTACAAAAAATAATTAATATGACTTAAAATACTTTCTACAATTTATTTAATTTGTTTTTGTATATGTTTGATTGCTTAAATTAAATAAAACCAAAAAAAGGAAAAAACTTGTATTGTTAACATAAAATAAAAGTAGCTTGAAACGATTTTCGCCATTCTAATAAATTACAATGCGTAATGGTGAATTGCAACGAAAATAAACGATCGCAAAACGTATGCAAGGCTTCCGTTTGAGAGGAGCAGGTATTCGGATACAAATGGCGGGTACATGCGTATGCGCTTACAATAAATAGTCATATGTATGTATGTGGGTATGTTTTGTTTGTTAATGTGTGTGAATTAAAGCTGCACTGATTGGCCCATACACCTGTTTTGTGCAACGATTCAACAATTTCGGATGCAGCTCAAAATTCCAAAGACCAACAAGATGTATGGCTCCTATGTTGCTGGTGTGGGGTCGCATGTGCGTGTATTTCACGGATAAATAGCAATGCAGAGTTGCATTTAGTTGATAGGTTCGCTTTGTTGAATTTTTTTAAATGCGTCTAGCTAGTAAAAATCTATGCATGCTGTTTTTGTTTATTTTTATGCAAATGCATTCAGCCGTTTGATACTTTCTGAACTTTGTATGAGCTAAACGGTGCAGATCTTGCACTTCAGTGTTATCTAATTATATATTTTACTTTTATATATCATATATGTATATTCAATTGTCGTTGCAAATTTAACAAACTACTAGGTTTAGATTTTCTTACTGATATAAATGAGCTGCTTACGCTTTTCACAAAGTACATATATTATTATATATATGTATGTACATATGTATGTAGTAATTTGCCTACTTCACGCGGTAAAACATCACCTGCAAACATTTATCATTTGGTTTTTTACTGCATATGTATTTTTACTTTATATGCCTCACATATATGTATATATGTACTTGTATATATCTATGTATGTAGGTAGGTTGTAAATGCTTTAGAGAGTTTGCTTTCCTATGTTACAGCAGCCAGCGCTCAACACCTCTATATAGTTTTGTAGATACGTTATTCAAGCGATAGTGGAGAATTCTATTTTTGTTTTTGTTGCACAATCGCAGTTAGCAATCCCTCTTCAGATGGCCACAGTCGGCGCTGCCGTTGTGCTTTTCAACGAGTATTGTGCGTACCACTGATGTTTGCACAATGAAGTGATTTAAATAACAACTGTTGGGTTAACAAGTGGGATTTATGCGCGGGGCTTTAGCTGATGCTACTGCAACTCGAAACCGTTACATTTAGCGCACTTCCTTTGCTGCTTGCTGCGATAGCCACGGAAGACCTGTGAATGCGAACGCAAAAATAAGCACACACACACACAGATGCGTTGTCGCACAATATTGTTTGCATTTGCATTGTACTCACCTATTGTGACGCATGTGACTCTTAACTAGGTCACTATTGACCAACGCCGCCATCAGACTTAGTTCGCCCGCCATCACTGTGGCGCACACAATTTGTGCCAGTTTCTTGGCATTTTCGCCGGGATGCGCGTGATTAGCGCCTCGCACGCCCAACATGTCCAGGCATGCGCCCTGACCAGGCAGGCCGGTGCCGCCGCCAACGGTGCCCACTTCCAATGAGGGCATTGTGCAAGTCATATATAAATCGTCATTGTTTGGGCCCCAACATTCCATGCCGGTGGAGCAATTACTGGATGTCACATTCTGTGCGGGGTCTTGACCGGTGGCTAGGAAAACGGCCGTTACCATGTTAGCTGCGTGTGCGTTGTTGCCTGAGATATAAGTAAGAACATAAATGCAAAATAAGTGCGGAATTAATATTAAAGAAAAATGGTTTACAGAAATAGTAAAATAAAAATACGTTTCAATTTTTATATGTTGGGAATTTCTTAGAAAAAAGTATTTTAACATTTTACTTACCACCTATACTGCCCGCCATAGCGCTGCCGGACATGTTCTTCAATTTGTTGCACTCCACCAAGGTTTTGGCGTCCGTTTTCAGTACGGTGCGCAGAGTTTGAGCCGGAATTATGCACTCGGTTACCACACATTTACCGCGACCCTTTATCCAGTTAATTGCTGCCGGTTTCTTGTCGCAACAGAAATTGCCACTTAGCGATATTATTTGCATATCTGGGAACTCTTTTTTGATGCATCTCAGTGCCATCTCAGCACCTTTGGACACCATATTCATACCCATGGCATCGCCTGTCAGCGCCACAAATCGAATATATAGCTGTGGGCCATCGATTGCGATCAGGCACTCCTTCAAGCGACCAAAACGCGATGTTGAATCAAATTCACACTTGATTTTCTTATAGTTCTTTTCATTGTAAATCCAATTTTTCGCCTCAACAGCGCGTGAAATGCTGCCGAAGCGCACGCAGGGTGCACGCGTCATGCCCACGTCCTCCACATGCGAAATGACACCGCGTACCGAGAGTGCTTTACAGCCCCGATTGGTGGAAGCGACCAGTGCGCCTTCGGTGGTTGCCATGGGCACAAAATATCTATTGCCATCCAGCAACAGTGGACCGGCATAGCCCACTGGTATGGGCACGTAGCCAATGACATTCTCACAACAGACGTTCATCACTTTGCGATAATCGAAGTGCAAATAGGGTAAGCAGTCCATACGCTCCGTTGGTACTTTGGCACGTTCAAAAATGATTTTTCTACGTAAGTTAACGCCGCGCACCGGGTCATCCAGTATGGATTCGATATTGTGCAAGGGGCAGTGTTGACTGGCGGTATTAACGATTAAAGCGATTTCTTCATCTGTGAGATTGGCAGCGGTGCAGCCCTCTTCGGTGGATTGAAGAATTTGTAGGCATTCCTGGAATGAGCGGGACGGCCGTGGTTCGACCTGGCACTTTATCAGTGGCAGCAATTGACTAACATCGGTTATGCTATCAGTTTGTGTGTATGCATTTACGAAATTTTGCTCTTCGATGGTGAATAGTGGGGTGCGATGGGTGCGTACGTTGGCGCCGGGAGGCGTAACAATGAGCTCAGGAAGTGAGCCGACAATTTCGGTTTGACTCGAGTCGTCGACAGTGGCAAGCATTGTGGAAACTGAGGTGGTCTCATCGACTTCATTCAAGCCTTGAGTTTGGGAAGTTTTCGCCGCAAGGGCGACTGTGGACTGACGCAGTTGATCACGCAGCTCGTGACGATGTTCGAAGAAGATGAACTTCACCACCAAAGCAATGAGCAATATTAGTATGACAATCTGGTCAGCGCTCATGGTTAGCCATCTAGAGAGAGAATAAGGCAGAGAATGTAGATTTGTAACTCACTAAATTGCAATATATGTAATGCTTAGAAATTGTAAGATGACGGACAGTCAAAGAAACCACTTCGTCAA